CGGAGTCTCTTTAACCTAACACCGTAACAGCTTTAGGGGAAGGGAGAGTTCCAAGTCAAGAATTCTGTGTATTACCCAAGTATTGAAAGTAAGCTCGACTACTATGGGACAGACACCAAAGGGGCTGCTGGCCGCTGGGGAACGGGCCTGCGGGAGCTCTGGAGTGACGGAACATTCTGCATCATGTTTGGGTGCTCACACTGGTGGGTGCAACTGTGAAAACCCACCCAGCTGAGCAGTTGAGAACTGTGCATTTTATCTTGTGTGGTTCACACCTCAAAACACCATGGGACATAGGCGAGTCCTGGTCTCAGAGCTGCACCCAAATTCTTTAGGTCTCACTGGTGTGATGGATGGACATGGAGTCTGAGGTTTGCTGCAAAGTGAAGGCAGATGCACTGCTGCTGGTGTTTCCCCAAGACCAGCCCAGGCCGCCCACCACGAGTTCTGAGTTCCGTGGTGCGTCCGTGACGCTCCTCCGCCTGGATGTGGTCCTGTCCGTCTCCCTAGATCGCTCTTGTAGCCATCAGAATGTGGCCGAGGTGACCTCTGAGGCTGGGCCAGGACAGGCTCATGGGAAGGCTGGCTGGGCTGGGAGCTGCCCCCTGGTGGAGCTGCCCCCTGGTGGAGGTGCTGCAGTCAGCGGTCCCATCACTGAGCCCTCCAGCCAGAGTCAAGCAGAAGCCAGTGTCAGTTAGCAGCCCTGCGAGTGGCCACCTTGAATGTCCTGCAAGGAGAATCATTCCATATGCAATTCTTAATCAACACATATTACTTTAAATTAAATATTCTTAACGGACTCGGCATTTCACACGTTCCATGTGGTCCTTGTAAACTTAAGTTTAAGAAAATGTGGCCCACATCAGGAGTGTCCGTCTATGCAGGGTTCTGACTGATAAAGTTCTGTGCAGAGAGCCGTTACCAGCGTTAGAATCCTTTGGAAACTGCTCCTGAAACTTCACCTGAGGCACACCTGCCTTTCCGAGGTTGTCTCCTGCCCGAGCCTTTGGCAGCCTGGTCTCCACGCGGATCGCAGACGTCTCCTTTCATCCTGGAAAGAAGGTGTCTAGGTGAAGCTTTTGAACGTCCGTGCACAGTTCTGTTTCCAACCTCACCTGATTCTTTGTCCTGAACCACGAATCTAGTCCCTGTGCTTTGGCCGTCACACCGACGTCGTCTGCTTCGCTGCAGACTTACTAAACACCTGGATGTTTCCTTCCTTCTAGAGAAACGTGGGGCAAAGGTAACGTCAGGCAGGAACAAAGTTGTCATTCCACAGATCATCATCACTTCGGCCTCAACGGAGACTCTCACCTGTTCCAGCGGGAGCCAAGAGCAGAGGACCATTCACGAGGAGGTGGAATGGGGCCCCTATGCCCGACACAGGAATCCCAGTACCATAGACGCCTATGCTTTACAGACTAAAGAATAAACGGCCACCTGAGTCGCTGTCCTTACTCACTGCTCTGAGGCTCGCCGTGATGGCAGAAGGGCCGCCCTGCCCTGCGGGAAGCTGCAGGTGCCCCTTTGGGAGATGAGAATCCCCCTGCCCCGCCTGTGACTATCTGAGGGCAAGAGTGACTTAAATTAGTTTGAATAAATCACCACCACCACCACCAATACCCCCTCCCCCTTGGAACTAGATGGCTGTGCAGTGATAAACGGACAGCAGGTGGCACCTCTCCCTTCTGTTCAACTCCCTCCCACCCACTCTGAAGGAGCATGGGCTGTGGTGAGATGGCCCCGCCCCTGGGAAAGGAGAATGTGGAAGGGGGTGGGGGGCAGCCGTGCACGTGGAACCTTGGAAGTGGCCCTGTCACAGCTGCCCAGGAAGAGGACAGCTGAGCTGGCACTGCCCATCTTTTTGGCTGTGAGGGCTCCCTATGGGGACGGGCCACCCAGGGGACCCCTCAACTGTCCCACCTACCAGCAGTGCTCAGGTGCAGAGAATGCCCCTTCAGGCTGGGCTCACATTTAGTCTGGTGACACTGTTCGCTTCCTTAGTTCCTGGAACGGTCAGCAGGCTCTGCACACAGTTCCTGTTTCTCTGTCGACGAGGACTATGTTCTTTTAGTATTAAATAGTACAACTGACTTCCAACCAACCAGTTTTGGTATAATCTGAGAAATCTCATATTGACATCGTTTACTAGTACGTTATCAGTGTCACTATTTACATTCAGTGTGTTTATGCATTCAGATTGTCACAACTAAATATACAGAAAAATCAAGTCCATCCAAGTGTGGATTTGACCCCACAGGGTCAGGGTGACTGCCCTTCTCCATAAAGTTTCTTGCAACCATTACATTTGTATTATTGGACCTAGAAATTACCCTCCTTCCCCTGCCCTGAGCATCTCAAGTCATCTGCACACTATTTACCAGGGTGCTCGTTCCAGCCTCATTATTAGCTTATGAGTGAATGAGAAAGAGCTGGGCTGCCCCGGGGTGGCCAGAGCGGACGTTGGGGGCTGGGTGGAAAGGTGAAGGGAGGACAGAAGGGGGTCGCTTCGGGACGAACTCGCGAAAATAAGGGCGACGAGCAGACGCTGAGACGGAGGAAGCCGCGGGGCCTCCGGCTGTGCCCCGGGCGAGTGTCCGAGAAGGCGGGACAGGACGCCGCCCGGGCGACACGGAGCGACCCTCACCCCGCGGGACAGGTGCCCCCGCGGAGAAGCCGCCCAGGCGATGGGAGCGCCTCCGGGATCGCATCCCGTTTTTATACAACGCGCGCTGTACTCCTGGAACTGCTGCGATAGAAGAAAACTTAAAAGCTAGAATGAACTGTTCGTTTAACTGGAAATAAGATTATTCCCACGCATTGGCTTAATTTCAAAGTTACACAATGTTCCTGACTTACGTTAACGTTACTTCAGCGCCGGCCGCGCGGTCCCAGCCCAGGCCTCC